ACAGAGACATCATTATTATGCTGATGGTACTTATAATCAGGGTAAGTACAGTCAACATTAGGAGAGCCTACACACACAGAGTAGTCATCTGAGAAGCAACAGTAGGACTTGCATATTTTAAAAACTAATGTTAAGATCAAATCTGAATCTTGGGAAGAATCTTTGGCAAGAAATGCAGCAGTGTAAGGAAATGAATTCCTGTGGTGTATATCTAAGTGATGGGCTACAGAAAACATCTTTCTGTGTATAATGAAACTGCAGAGTTGTCATCTCTTCCCATACCACCTGAACTCCCATCAAGTACTTGGGAAGCAGCCTGGTCTCCAACTACATAAAAAGTGTTCGGTTTTGGTTGTGGTATTTTTGTGTTTGTTTTTTAACTTAGAATAAGCCTGAAATGAAAACCACAGTTAGAATACTCACAAATGTTCAGAGACACTTTTCTTCTATAAATAATCTGCTTGTGACCTACCTTGTTACACAGATTTTTCTATTATTCCTTAAGTAATAACTGCTACATCAGCAGTCCTAGAAAACAAGTTACTTTGTTTATCCACTGCGAAGTTTTACAAAGCTCTTTCTTACACCACCTTTGCCTTAGTTCCAAATGTAGAAACAGGCATTTTTTTTCTTTTAAAGTGCAAGGTACCAATTAGTTGTTCCAGCTCAGAGCTGGTGTCTCAAGAGCCCCAGGATGCTCAGGCTTACAACAAGCACAGCAGACCTGTATTTCTAGGTGAGCAGCATGGCGGTGTGACACAGGTAGAGTGCAGTGACAGTTTACTGAAATAAGAGAAGTTTGGCACTTACGTCAAGTATATTTAGAAAAGAAATATCTTTTGTGAAATAAGTGATTCCGATGTTTGCTCATGCCTGTTATAATTACCTAAGTAAACTCCGATTTCGATTAATATTAATTTGAACAAACAACTGCAGCAACTACTTTAAGTAATATAATATTCATTCACAAATTCTAGAGTAATTTCAAAAGCCTAAACTTTAACAGGCCTTCTTGTGAAGGAAATAAGGAGACCTTGGCATGATTTCTTGAACCTCACATTTAAAGCCCGTCTTTTGTCCACAGAAGATAATTTAGCTGTTCAAAACTAAAAAATGATGAAAGAATTACTTAGCCATTCTGCCATATAGATTTAATTTATTAAATGTTTCACCCTCCTTGAGGAGGAACATGACTATTACACCATCAAGGTATTTTTCCCTTTTTTAAAAAGCTTGAATTTTCCACTTTTCAAGTAAGTACCTACCTTCACAGTTTTGACAGTTTTTCCCTTTACCTGAGAAAATTATTTGATAAACTAGAAGAGGATTGAAGAGTTAGCTTAAAAGCTACTGTTGCCAACATTTGGTTTTGGAAAAAGAGGATGGTAATTAAAAATGCATCCTTAGAAATTACTGTTCTTCCCATAAGCATAAATATGAGTGAACTCCCTGTATGTGTGCACACACGTGTGTTGGCAGCAGGATAAAGAACACAGTCAACATTAGAATCTGGGTTTTTAAAATCACGCCATTTGTTTTCACAGCAAACCCGCTAGTTATATTTTCTGGGTGGCTATTTACATTTAGCTACAACTTTGTGAATATTCTGAATATTCCTGACTATGATAAGAAAAACTTCTACATGGCACATATGGGTACATCCAGATGACCATACAATGAACTTAAAATGCTGTAACTGATCTTACTAATTGCATCTGCCATTTTATGTGGTTCATGTTTCTACTCAGCTTTCCTTCCAAGCACTGTTCCAATTGTTAAACGGTCAGAATACACAAAGTGACAGATTTAGTGCTTCCCTGGCAATTTATATAACTGACTGCAACTCTGTTGTTGCAGTGAATCATGATTTATTTGTCTCGCAATGCGGCACATAACCTTTTAAATGCTAGGAAAAAAATGCCAGCGCCTCTTTAAAGTTTATATATGACTGCCCACCACCATTCCTCATGAATGGGCTTTGAGAGACAAATGATAAAAACAAGCTGCAAATTCCACCCACCTACTCCTGGTCATTTCCTGTGTTCATCACTCACACGTACTGTATTTACAGACAAGCACCCTCACCCAGAACACCAGTGTACTCTCCTAGTCCCTGCATTTCCTTCTAAGCAATATTTCCCTTAAATTAGCAACAGGTATTCTCTGATAAACAAAGAGGAGGAGAATACTGGTTTCCCCCCAGCCCTCTTACTGGTATTAGCCCCCAAAAAATCTCACTGATTGAAATTAAGAGCAGATGTAGCGTTTCATTTACTGGCATCTCTCTCCACTCCAAAACCAGGATCCCAAAGCCTGTCTGTGTTCTCTTCTCATACCTGACTCTCCATATTTTCTTCTGCACTTATTTCCGTTACCTTTAAAAACCAGCTTCATGTACTCTCCCCCACCGCCTTCGCCTCAGTCAAATACACTGTTTTATTCTGGTGTTTTATATTGTGCCCATGTCCATGGTAAATGAACTTCTAATGACTCATTGCTGTCCACCAGTGCCAATCAAAAGCCCTCACTGCCTTTAATTATGAAAGCGATAATGAGAGAGGAAAGACTGTTTACTTTGACTGGAACTGCAGTATCTCCAATTAATGCAAATAAGAGCTGCCCATTGAAAAGCTATTTATCCAGCATGCACAGCACAAAGTATTTGCATAGCTCTTCTTACATTATAAATCAATTTTAAAAATTTAGGAGGGAGAACTCAGACAACAGATAAAATTGGTTTTCCCTCAGATGGCAACTATTAGCAGTCCATGTATTAGGGTGCAACATTCACGTACAGCCTTTACACCGGCAGACTTAAAACTGTGCGCAAAGGCGTGCTTCTCTAAATTGCCTTAGTTTGCAGAAGGGGAAACAAGACTACAGAGATGCAAGTATATTTTTCTAATCATTCAGGAGCTTCATGCTTGCCTTTGGCCTGCTTCTACCTGATCTCAAACAAGCCCTCCAAAGCCCAGCCTTGTGCTTTGTTCACTAAAATCCATTCCCTAAGTGTTTGCCTAGATGTTTAATAAACAAGCAAGAGCATTGCTTTGCACAGTAAATACGCTTGCAAATTGCGTAAGTTACAGACTTCAGTGCAATGCTTTCTGGAACTACACCACCAAATCTAGGTTTTTAACTGTCTGAGATAGTTCTAGCACTACACATGGCATAGAGTGCAACAGAAATAACGCCAACTGATCATGAATGAAAGAGGAAGACCATAAAATTAAAAACCAGTGAATTAATACATTAAAGTACCATTTAAAGAATAGCATTTGAGTCATAAAGAACAAAGCTGACAAGTATTTAAGCTGTGCCAATACAGCTCATCCTGATCAGGTGAGGAAAAATTACAAGTCCTTTTTCTATAAGATTTTTATATTGTTCTATAAGGCAAACAAATGTTAACTAAAAGAAGAAATGCTTCCCTTGGCCATCCCAAGTTTTGAAGGTCAGTGCAAAATAAACATCATGAATTTTGTTTCAAACATTTATATTTGTTTTGGACAATGATGGTAAAACCATTTAAAGTGAATTTGCTGTTATGCTTCTAAGGCAGCAGCATGTTTAGCACATTTAATTAGCCACAGAGAGTGGTTCGACTCAGTGCAGCACTGAACTTCCACTATCCAGAAAAAGACAAAGCCATAACTTAGGAAAGTACAAAAAAGCAAATTTACATATACTACATGCTTCTGAATATTACTGCTGTTGAAAGAGACTTTATAAATAAATACAACTTTGATAAGAAGCTAAGGAAAGTATACTTGTTTCAGGGAATAAACATCTGAATTAAGAAAACAAGAGCAACTATCATCTACTGGGGGTGAGGCAGAATACTCAGCATCATATAGTCCAGTAGATTGATAAAGACAAAAAAAAGCCCATGTTGGGCAAACAAGAATCAAAACAAACATCTTCCCCCACCTCACAGGAAAAGCACTTTCCTTCGCACACAAACAAAACAGCACATACTCCAGACTCTCACATTTATGTACCCAGCTGACACAGTCTCTAATGGGTCAAAGCAAGTTCTTATGACAATAAATCGTTTTGCTTTATGATGCTAACTTCAGTCGTTATCTTTCTGAGTTTTGGGGAACTATTACTTGGAAGGTAACAGTAGAAACAAAGAAGCTTCCCTATGTAACAGTCCACAATAACATGAAATAAGGAATCAACCCTGTGTAACAGGGGTTTCAACAACAAGTAACTGATGTAACTACAGTATTCTGAATAAAAATATTTTTTAAAGATTTTCATAAGAGATTTAAGACCAAATTCTGGCTTGGGACAAACAGGGAAAACCTCTATTGAAGTTAACACCCCTCACATAAAATGGAATACTGCAATGTAAATTCAGCATATCGATACGTTTCAAAGAAAAAGTCCATAGGTTGGAGAGAAGCTATTTGTAATCACATTTAAATGACCAGTGTCACAAAATGTATCAACTAGCTCCACTGCTTTAAGTGAAAGAGCTGTCACCTCACTAAGAAAGACAGGCTACTGAAACAGAAAAACTAAAAATTCCTCTCATTTAGCTGTATTTTACTGATCGAACTTCCATTTTTACAGGATCAGACACAAAAAAAAGCCACTTATGTTGCTGTCATTTTTGCTTAATCTAATTTTGACTAATCCAAAAAGTGTTCTCAAAACCCAGCCAGAAACAAGAATAGCTTTGCAGACCCAATATTTATTATATATTATATAAAGTAAGATGCTATATACAAACTGGCAGTGAGGTGTACTAATAGACAAGGAAAATGTAACATGCAAAAAACTGTAAAACCAAGCATACATCATCATCTGGATCCTTCTGTATATCCAGTAGCAGCAAAAAAGTGAGTGTTCCTCAGGGAAACCTCATATTACCAGCAATGACAACTTAAGTATAAGCATCTCCTGGACTTTAACAACTGGTTTCATTTCAGAGGAAACACACTGTATCATTATCATTATTCAAGTAAATAAATGATCATCCATAATCTTACCTAGTTCTGGGGGCAGCACAGTAAGGCGATTTCCCTGGATATGAAGTTCCTTAAGCTGAGTGAGCTCACCAATTTCTTTGGGCAGTGATATCAGGTCATTGTCTCTAAGACTCAGCTAAGAGTGAATATAAAACAGTCAGAACAATTATCAGTTACCATAAAGCAGTCTAAACCAGAACTGTACTCCCTCTGCCTCTCCCTTTCTCCTAGACACTCAATTCTTTCAATTTTTTACAAGCGTCTACTGTTAAACAAGAAATAGTTCCAGGTGTAATGGTCTATTCCTGCAAACATACCCTACCACTTCTTAAACTGACTGGATTCTATTCCTGTAAGTGTTGCAAAAGTGCATCGATTTTCCAAGAATTTAGATAAATTACTTACTATCTGCAACTTTGTGAGCTTCCCAATATCTGGCGGCAGGATTTCAAAATCGTTGTCACTTAGATAGAGTGCACGCAGGGTGGCTGCAAATTAAATAGCAATATATAAACAGGGTGGCATATAACCCAACCATTTGAGGTCTAATCAATAAAAAGGAGTCAGGTTTGATTAATAACCCTGACTTGGTGAAAAGCCTTTAACATACTCAGGGCTCACAATAATAACAACCAGGTCAAACTCAGATTTACTGGCTTATTGTATTGTTGGCGAGTTCAGGAAAATATCTATATTTGAAAGGAATGGCACAATTAACAATTTCTACAATAGTAGACTCTGGCAGGTTCTGGCATACAGTCTTGATGCCTAGCTGTCAGAATACAGTCATTACTTTTTGTTGCCTCTGATTCTTATTTATTAAATCAATTGGCATCATAAACAAACATTTAAAAACAGTCACCTGAGGTTTTTTTGACAAACAACTATGTCAAGCTCTATAAAAAGCACAGCCTAATGCTAGGAAGAGCTTAAACGAGAGCAATACAGAAGATTCAAGCTGTAAAATTTGTAACCTCCATGCTTAGTCTCTACGAAATTCAGAGAAAAAGAGATGACCCAGCACATCCTTGCAGCTTGCTATTATAGAATGAGCATACATGACAGTTTGGAAAACAAAAATTAAAATGGAGACTCACAAAGAACTGTTGGGCGCAGCGGGAAGGAAGGTGCTCAGGTCAGCAAAACCTCTCCTCCCCACCAGAGGAGGTCCCACTTGCCTTACGCAGTTTACTCCTCCTCCTCTTTTCCCTTCGTTAAATGTGACCATTTTTAATAAAGCTGACTAAAAATTTCCGTCTGACAGGTTACAATCACAAAATCGCTCAGGCAGCGGCACTCCTTCCTCTCTCCTCGCCCGTCACTTTTGCTGCTAAATGCTGAAGCAACTTCAGCAGAGCACACTGAAAAGACCAGTAAGGTAGCAGAATAGCTGAAACCCAGAAAGTGCCAGAATTCAAGTTGCTTAGGCAACCACAATGCAGCCCTTTCGCACATATGTATTGCAATACCTTTATTTTAACTCTGAGTATTTTTAACATGTGCAAAGGTCGGCTTAGCTCTACCATTCCTGTGACAAGCTTTGCAACCTTAGCATATTTTTTAACATACTGGACACTTCAACTTCCACATGCTGTTAAAACTATTTCAGTAATGAACCATCAGGAACACTGTTGTTTCCAGAGTCAACGCATAACAGTTGCCTTGCAAAACAGTTTACTTTGCCCTGAGGCATGCAAGCTTCCATGAAGTTTTAACCGAGTTCTGGACTCAAGGAAATATTGCTCAGAAGAAAACTAATTTACCATTACTAACCAAGTTTTCTTATGTCCAATAGTGTCAGGTAACTGTATATCAGAGATAAGTATTGCTGAGCTATATAGAGATATTCAAGAGATACTCAAAGAAAACCATAAATATCACAATAATTCTGTTGGAGTTTGGTCTCCATCAAATAAATTTCAACTGCAGAAAGCAAAGCATCATATCATGAAGATTTGTAGAGTTTTTAGAAAAGTTTCTCACTCAGATAGAAGAAGTTTCCTGGTAGAGAGTTTTCATTTAAATTGTTGTAAGTCAAGTCAAGAACCTCCAGAGCTGGTAAAGAGCCAAATCCCCTGGGCAAGGTGTTTAACCTGTTCATGCTGTAGGTAAAGAGGGAAAAGAAAACGGAACACGACATCAGTATTAACTTTACCTAGCAGGAATAATACAAGCAACAAGAGCTTAATTTCTAAAAAATATAACCTACACCAAACTTCACTTTTATTTTGAAAAGTCTTGATGCTAGAGGACACTGAGCAAGGCTTTCACAATGCAGATTATTTTTTTAATCACCTTTTCCCATAAATATGCCCAAAACTGAACCACTCACAAGGGATCCTGTCTGTTAGGTCAGTCAACAGTCACACCTCAAACACAAAACACAAGGGAGAGAGGTGTCACAACACTATGATCAGCTTAAACAGCTTGCCACAGAGAAAGCTGGTCCTTGGTAGATGACTTATCTTCAGGCTGAACTACAAATAACCTTTTTGCACATAGTCTTGACCATCCGCCATTCTACCACACAGTTCTTCACCACAGTACCAAATACAGAGGAATACCTCAACCGCACAGTATTCATGTTCACTACTAATTGCTACTCAAACCCCTTCCTAAGAATGGCAAATCTGTATCACTAGATAATTACTGATGCATATGGAGCATGAAATAAATGTCAGTCCTCTGACTGATGAGGCTTAGTCTAAATAGAGCTCTTTCAGCCAGTCTTAGAGGGTTTACAACAGCAGCTGGAAGAACACAAGGAAAGCTAGCAGACGGAAAAGGTTTCTCTGATAACCTGAAGCAGACAAGCTACAGAAAACATTAACTTCCCTCTGATTTCAAAGGACTCAAACAAGGTGATCCAGATAATCACTGGAGCTACTGCCATGACAAAGAAAGGCAAGGAGCTGGAGACTATATTCATAGAATATAATCTCTTTACGGTTTGTGTATGAGCTAGAGCACTGGCTGCTTACACAAACAGAAAAGAACTAGCAGCTTATTATTCATACCATCCCTGTTGCATGTACACCAAACATATAGCTTTCCTGTATGGATCTTGCTTCAGTTGTCACCTGGGTTTGAAAGTGGAACAGAAGACTAGCATCTTCAGGAAGAGCATGTACTGGGAGATATTCTGAAGAACTGGATTTTTATTTTTGTGTGATGACTGGAAACAGTCATGGCCTTTCATGTATCTCTAAACATACTCTGAATTTGACTCTCCTTCTGATGCAGAAGTGATAAACTGCAATAGCCAAAACTGGAGTCAAGAAAAGATATAATGTGAACGTATGGAGCATGATACAACACTAAACACTGAAAACAAAGTATTGACAGAGTTAGGTACCCAAAAATAATAAAGAACTCCGATTTCTAAAGACTTCCCTCCCTCCATGTAATGTTTGTCAAACACTTCATAGAATAGAATCATAGAATAGTTAGGGCTGGAAAGGATCTTAAGATCATCCAGTTCCAACACCCCTGCCATGGACAGGGACACCTCACACTAAACCATACCACCCAAGACTGTGTCCAACCTGGCCTTGAACACGACCAGGGATGGAGCATTTGCAATCAGTTTGCTTCTACTAAAGGAGCTCCCCCCTTGTCAACAGCTCCACCACCCTCCAAGTAGACCTGGCCAACACTTGCTAGACTATGTGATAGTATGAAATACACCTGTAGGACAAAAAATAAGCCCATCTTTTATAAAAGTTCTTCAGACACTGAATTGAACACAAGAGCAGCTGCAGCTCCAGACTAAGTATGACAACTGCATGTGAGCAGAGTAGCACATAACAGTAATTCTGCAGCTCTCACATACTAACCTCACCTTTCCTCTCCCACTTTTGCATAAGCCAGCCCTACTAAAACAAGATCCTGTAGAGATCAACCCTCTGTAGCTAAACTCTAAATGAAAACTTCTTCCTCCTTATCCTCTATAAGACGTCCCACCAGGGATATTCACCTAGTATTACTGCTGTAGTAGTAGCTATTAAAATACAGAAAGGCATTCTCCATTACTACTACTGCAGACTTGTCACTGTTTATAAAACTGTTTTTATATCAAACAGGACTAAAGAAAGCAGCTCCTCTTTCACTAGCAAGAAGAGTAAGTGGTCCTGACAGCCTTCCATTCTGTAAGCAAGAAAGAGGGAGAGAAAGTATTCTCTCTGTTGACAACAGGTGGCATGGTATCTATTCTTTGGCATGGAAAAAGAATCAGCTGAAAGGCCTTGCCCAATGCTATGTAGCTCTGCAGAAGTTCAAACACTGAGCTTGTACTACAGCAACCAGGCCACATCTGCCTTCCAAATTTTTAACTTTTCTTTTAATCTTTCAGTGCAGCAGTACACCTTCCCACTTTCTACCCCACCATTTGACCTTTCTGCACCAAACTCCTCCCCAGAATAATCTAAGCATTTATTCAAGCTTTTCCTCTGCCCCAGAGGGCTGTTTTGATGCCCTGTGTGTCCAACGCACTGCAGATAACAAGAGGGTTTCTGGGCTGCCCCTGGCAAACTACTGGGGCAGAAACAGTTTCTTCTTCACTGACTTCATCGACCTCTGAAGCAGAACCTATTTTGCAGAGCTAAAGATGGGTTGTTAATCCTGTACCTTGAAGATTATGGGCAAGGAGAGTATTAAAAAAGAAGAGCATTTGCGCTACAAGACCCTGGGCTACATGAAGGTAGCAGCTGTGGTTCCAGACGTAAGTGTCTGCTGATCTTAACCAAGTGGACTTTTATGTTGTCTTTTTTTCCATTAATGAAGACCAGTATTTGAACTACACTAATGCTTGTCACTGCTTTAATCCAGGGAAAGAGCCCAACTTCTTTCCTCCATATACTGCAACATATCTACATGCAATTCCAAAAAAGTGGATTCAACCCCTAAGATACATAGTATCCTTATCATAAAATAGTATTTGCTCCAAAAAGCAATTCCAGGTTCAAGCAGATACTGAGACATGCTAGAGATCTAAAGTAACCAAATAAAGACCAAAGACAACAGATCATCATGAAAACATTTATTGGCATTCAACAGTTCAAGATGCAATTCAATTATCAGCACTTTACAGAAGTATCTAAAGCAGGATAGAGAGAGCTTAGCCAAAATCCTTTGATATTTAAAGTAGTAAAAAATCCTCAGTTTAAGGTGTTCAGAAGCTTGGATTTATAAAATACAAACATTTTTTCTATGATAAGGCTGTACAGCTAGAGCTTACTCCTACCAGTGCTTTCTCAAGTAGTTGCACTATAATATGCCCAGTTAATAAAGAAGATTCTGTGCTTCACATTTATTTTCTTAATTCAAGAAAACCTTCTGCAATTATAAAGTATCACCAGCTCCACTGAAGCAGCCACAACAGAATTAAAAGAGAGTTGCTAGTGAAGTAAAATTCAATAATTGTTAAGTTTTACTTCAGTAGTAGATGAATGTGAGCTGTTGTAGCCCTAAACTCTGGTACACTGGTAACCATTTCAGTGCTTGATCACATAAGCATCCAATTATCCAGGACACTAGATAAACACTCTGAAGCCGTAATTGCCAAGTTATCCTCACAAACACTTCCAACAAGAACTTTCAATAGGAAAAAGTAAGAAGTTCCAAGTTCAGTGGTGACAACATTTAACAGTACCTCTCTATCGCAGCAAATTTTTGCATTACGATACTCACCCAAGATTAAGGTGTTTAAGCTTCTGAAGGCTGCTAATCTGTGTAGGCAGCTCCTCAATCTGGTTGTTGAAAAAGTTGAGCACTTCTATGTTTCTCAGGTCTGCAATGTTTGCTGGCACAGCTGTGGGAAAGATTTCACAGTGAGACAAGCTACCTCAACAGACTTTAGACACCACTAGCGCCTATCCTTTTCTCTGTATGTACAGTGGCTGACAGTAGAAACAGCATCTAACAGCTACTGCAATAAAAGCAAAGTTTGTATCAAAAAAGCCTCCTATCTGGAATCCATTCTCATTGCTGAGAGCAGTCACTTTGTGCTCTTCAGAAAATTACTGCCAGTACTGTAAGATATTTTGACTAACACAGACCATTTCAGTGAGAGGCAAGGACAACTCATAAATACTGTCATAGACTAATAAAGAGAAGCAGGCTACCCTCCAAGTTCATATAGTACACACAGGTCTCAAAAGACCAGAGCCTAAGAGTTTTGGATCATTTCATTAAGCTGAAAAAAAAACAAATTATGTAATTACACCAAGACAACAGTTTTATTAAAGGGCTTTAACAGCAAACGTGAAATAAAAGTTTTTAGCAACACCTCATTCTACTTACTGCTTAAACCATCCAGTATCTGAGTTCTTGTCCATTTAAGATACAGCAAAATTAATTTCATCACTAAAAGATGAGTTATTTTCCAAGCCCATTTTCAGTTACCGCCCATGAGTAAACAACTGATCGATGCACATACATGGCTACTTTTGATTTCCAACAAATCAATATCTGGTTATTATTTAGAAACATGAAAAATAAGGCAGAAGGCAATATGAATATGCCTGTGCAAATAAGGTTAAAAAACTATGCAGATCTGCATCTTCTCCCCCTTAAAACTTCGTGAGATTTAAGAAGACAGATGAGGTTTACATAAAAGGAGGCTGGCAAATCACTTGCACTGAAGCTTGCACCTGTGTTCAATATTCACTCTGGCTCAGTCTCAACTTTGAGTGCACTGGGAACCCATAGAGTGCACATCTAAATAATGAGAAGATTTTATGAGGCCATGATTTTCTTTTATTTCTTGGCATGAGACAATCTCAGTCTTAAAATGGAGTCAATGTTTACAAAGCAGAACATTATAGTATGTCACATTTACTAGATTATAAGTCTAATTACACTGTGCACAGTAACAGAATCCCTAACAAACACTCCAATTACTATTAAGGGTCATATTCATTGCAGGAGATTTTTTAGCAGCTTTTTTTTTATAAAGTCATTAAGGCAAATCTGAACATTTAAAAGCCCTCCCTTTGTGGCATTTTCCAACTGGTCCATGTGTATCTGTCACTCAATGATAGCAAGAATTATGTGCCTTCAGAAAATAACAGGTAATGTACTACTAGTATTGTTGTTTTAAATTATTCCCTAACAGAAGTTAACTGAGGATTTTAATTGACATAATTCAGCTGTTTCCAGCTTCAGTATTTCACTAGAACAGTAACTGCCCTTATTAAAATGTTTTCAGAAATCAGACTTTATAATTTGATGAGATGCAATGGACTGGCAAACCATGTCTCTGTTCTCAGTCAGATACTATGTTTATGCAAGACTGGGAATCAGAAGTACTAACAAATAGAGGGTTTAGTTTAGTCAACGCCTAAACAGTACAGACGGACACCAAATACATTTCCCCTGAAGTTACACTGTTGATACAACTCATAAAAATCTGGTATGAAGGCTTTGGCTTTTTTGACAGTGTAAAAGATAAAGCACTCCTAGAAAAAAACCCCAAACAGTGTAACTTAACAGCACAAGTTATGCTAAAAGTAATGTAGAGCTCTGTTGTGGGAACTCTGAACAAGAGCCTGAAATCCACGAGGCCAGACTTACCAAACCTACAGTCAGTTTGGCTGTCTGTGCGTCGATTCCATATTTTCAGTTGAGCACCATTGCAAGTTGTTAAATTAAGAAGCTGTTATCCAAGGTGTTGAAATTACTCAAAGCCAACTAAAAAAAAGTACATCTTACAGCAAGAACAACACTATCACTATAAAGACAAGAAGCCTCTGAAGTTTTTTCATCTTGCTGTGAGGCTGGACTACAGAAACTGTCAGACCACAGAGACAGTTTGTTAGTCCTACCCTCATGCAAGGAAAGCCAACAATATCTTCTGTGTATTTTGGCTGAATCAGCGTTAGTTAATGGGCACCTTAAATTTACTCAGTCCTATTCACAGTGGATTTAGTTACCTAACTAACTCTTGTATCACAGAGTAACAGCAGAGCTGTTCTGCATCTGTGAACAGACCACAAGATAGGGACAAGTCCCCTGCAAGCAGCCTGACAGAGACATCAAAGCAAAAAGCTGGATCCAGTTACTGAGCTACCTTGAATTAATGACACTGATTTAGCAGATGTGCCCTTTCAAATACCTGTCCAACAAGCTTGTTTCCTACTTTAAGAATAAATGAATTCTTAACCTTTTATCTCACTTTGACTTAAGTTAGGAGGCTGTGGAGAGAAGAATCATTTCAAGGAAGAAGATGAACACTCAAGAAGATTACATTTGCACTAAAGATCACAGCATCAAAGAGAATCCTGGTTTCAGTGGGTTACCACGCAGCTGAAAAATCTGAAGTTCTATCTGTTCATCCCACTTGCAGACACAGGCAAAAACTAAACTTCCACTGGCTAATTCAGCAGAGGTTTTTAATTTTGTTTTCTTTTGTCAGGGCAGTTGTAAGTGTCCTCAGTGAACAACAGGAGCTGTGTCCTTGAACACTGTCCACTAAGTTTCTGATATAGCTGTATAATTCTCATAAAAGGTATTTCATGTGAATCACACTTAAGATTCTTAATTCATACATAACAATTATCATTATGTTCTTCAAGCCATACTACAAGCTGCATAGGTTTTAGATGAAATGAGAAAAAAGGCTAAAGATTTAGCAAGGAATTTGGATGAAATACTTTGTGTTTCACCCTGCTAAATCAAAATAAAAAGCCCCCATCCATAACTGTGGGTTTTGGTTTGGATGGAAGAGCTGGAGATACTTTGTGAGAAGGGAAAAACAGAAGAGCAGGTTTTAAGGTGTGGACAGGGTGAGGACTTTCTCCTGTAACAGCTTATCTTCTGGTTCAACAATTCAGATTCACCTGTAATACGAAGAATTCTCTCTTGGATTCAAAAGAAAAACAGAAGACTGAAATTAACTTCTGTAGTGGTCTTGTAGCTGAGCTGCACAGGCTCAGTACCTTCAGGTCTAAAGATGGGTAGTGGTCAAACAAGATTAACCAGGCATATAATATTCTCTGTTCTGAACTTCACACAGCTAAGTGCATCCTGACTACCATTCCACTGTTATGTTGCAAAATTCTTTCCAGCTATACAGCAGACTGCCAAATACCAAGAAATCTAAGTTCTGGCACTACTGAATTCCACTCGAGTCACCTTCTTATGATGAGCTAAGAGAGTGAACTGTCAGCATCCCAGTTCTATTCACCCACATATTTACAGTACGATCCACAGTGTCTTAACAACTCTTCTAAGACCATCTGCTGCCCAGTGTCATTAACAACGAAACTCCCCCTCAGCAAATGCTAGTAAAATTTGGCAGCCCAATGGCTTTGCATTCTCCTGTGAAGCTTCAGTCACATCATGAAGCCCCATTCATGTTCAGCCTCACTTCACAAGACCAGGAAAGGCTTCCTTTCCCTTGTTCAATACTGGAAACTGCATACAGTGATTGACTATGAAATCGAGGTGAAGTCTATAGCTGTCAAGAGCTTGGTTGAGAAGGAAAGAGAGGATCTACAGGCTGCACACCAAGGAATAAAAGGACTTTGTGCATGCTGCTGAAAATAAGTATTGGCAACTTGCTATACTTCAAAGCATTAAAAAAAAAAAAAAAGCCATGAAGTTAGTGGCAACTCTTTAGGTACTAAAACATTCTCATCAGAGTAGCCTTTCACTTAAGGTACATTTTATTCCTACAAAAGCAACAGCTGTTCAAAAGTTCTGATATGATTTCCAAAACATACAGAAGAAGGATTAAATGCTACTATTAAGTGCCTATGTAACACCAGTATCCTGGACTGAACCTTAGCCTGGACCTTCAAGAACCAGAAGCCAATACTAGATCAGAGGTCTTTACTAGAGGTCTGATGTTGCCCTCTGTTGGAGAACAGATACTGGGTTAGATTGACCTTTTATCCAAGGCAGCCATCATGCAAAACATGCTAAGAACGTTTAAATCAGTTAAAACAGCTTTGAATTAAGTGTCCCAGATGTAACCCTTTTTCATAAAGCAGGAAGGCAAACGGTTCTCATTCCACTGACATCTAGATCCAGCTTCTTTTGTACACTCAACCTCTGACAAAGGAGGAAGAACACAGAAAACAGAAGAGAAAAAGAGGTGCATAGTTTTTCCCCTCTGGTTCCACTCTGACACTCTTTAGTCATTTGCCTAGGTTTCAAAAGGATTCCTCTTGTCGTGGCAGGGCCCTTCATACAGCTAAAAATGCACAGGGTTCAGAAAGTCTCTATTTCTGCAAATGATCTTCAGGATTATTTCTTCTAAAGCTCCTGTGAAGCACTAGAAAAACAACAGAAATTCTCACAACTTTAAAAGTAAACACACTTAGGTGTTTGCAAGATTAAGTCTCCATTTGCTTTTCAGATAAAAGATAAAATCTAGTCTGTTTTTGTATTTAGTAGGGACTAATATTAAATCAAACATTTCTGAAGACACTTAAGAGGCCCATACCAAAATTTCCTTTGCAAATTAAAACTAAAATATATAGAACATTTTAGACAAGGAAGTTCAGATGAAAAATCTGACAAAAGTCAATAAACTTGGACAAGTGAAATAATCCACTAAAAATGTCTCCATGAGAGGAATACCTGCTATGTAAACAGTGTTAAACTTTTCAGTTCATTTATACCTTAACGCTGAACATTAAAAATAAATATTGTCTCACTGCTGTTTCAAAATGCTGTCTGTAATACCTGCCTGTTCATAAAATTGTGCATGAGTAAGCTTACCATCTCCTCAGTATGATTCAAAGACTACAGAAAACCTTCCATTGAATTCAATGGTTTTGAATCAAGACATCTAGTGAAATAAGA